GTATCACTCTCTTTATCTTTTTACTGTGGTTCCAGAATGTCCAGCCCTGATGAACATGCTGTCTGTTCCTAGGTGGCTTTCTTGTTTGTTGATTCCCTTTCTTTGTTCAAACATCAGCTTCATTCAGACACCAGCAAGAGTTCATCACAACCACAGACAGATGAATCGTAGTTGTTCTTCTCCTATATCTCCCTTCTTGTTTCCTTATCCTTTACTTCTTGGGTTCTTTTGACCTTCCCTAACATTTTCCACAAGCTTTATATGCTGAGATTCCCTTTCAGTTTTACTTCCTTAGCTTAGGAGAATTGTTTTCTGACCACACCTGTGGCTCCTCCATCTTCCTTATCATGGCTCCTGCTTTGCTCCTTAACCTGTGCTAACTAGTTTTTATTGTCAACTTGACAACCTGGAGCCACCTGGGAAGAGAGAGCCTCAATTTAAGAATTTCCCAGAGCAGATTAGCCTAATGAAATGTTGGTAAGACTTTCTTAGTTGATAACTGATAGAGGAGACCATACATAGTTCTATGCCTAGGTAGATGGGTCTAAGCCATATGAGAAAGCTAGCTGGGCATGAGCTAGAGAGTGTCAGTAAACAGCTTTCCTCCATGGTTTCTGCTCCAACTTTCCTCACCGATGGACTGTTACCTGGAAATGTAAGCTGAAATAACCCTTTTTCCTGACCCTAAGTTGCTTTTGGCCATGCTATTTATCACAGCAACAAAATGCAAACTACAACAAAAATTGGTACTGGGAGAAATGTGGTTTGGTGTTATGAACTTGAGCATACTGTTTTGGGAGAGAATTGTAGGTGTGTTTGGAACTTTGGGCTGGAAAAACTATTGAGTGTTCAGAGCTTAATGGGTTGTTTTAGTGGGAGATTTGAAGATAAGAATGTTGAGAGAAATGCAGACAGCAGAGGCCTGGACTGTGAAATTTCAGAGAGAAGCAAAGACCACCAAGGCCATTTGTGTGATATTTTGTGTTAAGAAATTGTGCTAATAAGCTGGGACTGAAAAGTAGGCTGTGAGACCAGCATCACTGAAGTGAATGAAATCTGTGCTTCACTGAGACAATATGGTCAGCACACAAGGGAGTCAAGGCTGCATTTCAAACTGACAGTTGAAATTGGCAATGTGTAAAGAGTCTCCCACATGGTACTGTTTTTGAAGGCATGAGCTATGTAAGATTGATGGGGTCATAGAGACCAGCTGAAGCCTAGCGCTATGTGAAAGGGTTGGAGTCCCTATAAAGAATCTAGGAAAGGCCATTAGTAAAGATGCTGCCACAGTTTCAGTAGAGACGCCTAGATACTGAAGATGCCAGGACCATATGACATCTGTTAAGGACAGTGGCAGGTGTGAAGTGGAGCCAGCCTGAGCTTAAGAGACAAGCTATATGTGCTGCTGATGGCAGCATTGAGGAGATGGAGCTAACCAAGCCTCTTGGAACCCAGATGATCATGAGTGACTCCCAGATGCTGTACACTGAGCTACAGGATTTGATTTATATTTTACTAGACTTCAGGGTTTGCTTTTGTTGTTGTTTTGAGACAGGGTCTCACTATGTAGACCAGATTGGTCTTGAACTCAGGCTTATCTCTTCTTTTCAAGTGCTGGGATTAAAGCATGCACCACCATGCCTGGCTCTTGGGTTTTACTTTTATTTGATAGTTCCTATGCCCTAGTTCTTGCCCTTTTTTTTGGTCTTTTTTGAGACAGGGTCTCCCTGTAGCCCCACCTGGTTCAGAGCCCCTGCCTCTGCCTCCCAAGTGCTGGGATTAAAGGTGTGCGCCACCACACCCGGCAGTTCTTCCCTTTTAAAGTAAGAAAATCTCTAGCCTTTTTTTTTTTTTTTTTTTTTTTTTTTTTTTGAGACAGGATCTCACTGTGTAGCCCTGGACGACCTGGAACTCCCTATGTACATCAGATTGGCTGGCCTCTAACTCAGCAATTCACATGTCTCTGCCTCTTGGGTGCTGGGATTAAAGGTGTACACCACCACTGCTGGCTATAACTTATTCTTTATTTTACAGATGTCCACGGTTAAGGCACTTTGAACTTAAAAAAATTTTATTTATTATTTTAATTTTTTTATTTTTATTTTTTTGGTCTTTTTGAGACAGGGTCTCCCTGTAGCCCCAGCTGACCTGGAACTCACTATGTAGGCCAGGCTGGCCTCGAAATCAGAGTGATCCACCTGCCTCTGCCTCATGAGTGCTGGGATTAAAGGCGTGTACCAGCATGTCCGGCCTCATCCTACATTTTTTTTAGATAGGCTCCTTTTGGAGCCCAGCCTGATCTGAAACTATTGCAGCTCAGGCTGACCTCAAAATTGTGGTAATCCTCCTGCTTCAGCCTCTTGAGTGTAGAGACTATAGGTGTGTGCCTATAAGAGCTGATAAGGGTTCTTTCCTTTTTCCCATGAACTCTATGCCTTAAGGGGCCCAATTCAGGGGAATGAGGGCTGGAATAAAGGTATATATACCCACCCTAAAGGGAAGACTTCTTTTCCAGGTAGTACTTATCTTTGTTCCAGTACCAAGTATGCTTCAAGAAGTTGTTTACACAAAGCTCTTTTGGCTTATTTCCCAGGCCTGCTTAAACTGGAGAAAAATGAAAGCTGACAAATTGAAGACAAAGCCCTTCTACTCCAGAAGCCTCTAGCACTGTGACTGCCAGTGATAAGGTCATGCCTTAGGAACCAGACTCCTAGGATAGTAAATTCAGTATCAGGCACTGACTGATGACAATCACTTGTAGGTAGACCTAGAACCTTGTGGGCAGCAGTGAAGGATTTCTTGCTCTGGTGCAGTGTGATAATTTCCTCTGTCCCAGCCAAAGCCACAGGGGTTGTACTTCCTATGTGCTTTTTGATAGGTAGTGAATGGGCGGGAGTGAGCGGGTGGAGGAAGGCACCAAGGCACAGATGTAATTCTCAGCAGGATACAGCTTTATTTCGCACGGGACACGTTTCCCTCGGGGAAGGGAAAAATGTCAGGGAAAGATGTCAGGGAAAGACAGAGAAGGCAGGGAAGGCAGGGAAGGGAAAGATATCCAGGAAAGATATCTGTCCACGGGTTGTGAGCTGGGACTTTATATATGGGGGCTTTAGGGTGTGGAAGGGGGAATGTTTGGGGGAGAAATCAGGGAGGGGGAAGCAGGTAGGATTAGGGTGCGGAAGTGTTTACTTTTTCCCTCTTAAGATGAGAGAAAAACAGATGCTAAAATCTCTGGTTATCAGGTAGAATCTGCTTATCTTTGGAGGTCAGAGGAGAGGCAGGCTGCTTCTCAGCAGAGTTTGTTTCCCTTGACTCCAAAGGTCAAGGTGAGGTCCCTGTTGGGGAGGGGGGAAACTGCTGCTGTTATTTGGAACCCTAACACTTTCTCTGTCCTCTCACTTCTGCTGCCCAAATCTGATGAACATACTTGCAAGCCTCTTTATCCAAGGCCAATTATTCAGGAAGCAGTAGATATCTAACAGTCTAGACATTTTTCCTTTTAGTACATTTTTTATTTTTGTATGCTTGTATATGCATGCATGCACACAGAGGTAAGGGACAACTTTTAGAAGTCAGTTGGTCAAGTCAGTTATGGTGGCACACTCCTCAAATCTCAGCACTCATGAGGCAGAGGCTGGGGGGTATCTGTGAGTTCAAGACCAGCCTGGTTAACATAGTGAGTTCTAGTCCAGCTGAGGCTACAGGGAGACCCTGTCTCAAACAAAACAAAACCACTCAAGTGATAAAGCTTGCTGGCATTTTTATCTATTGAGTCATCTTACCAGTCCCATTTTTCCTCTTATTTTTATTTATTTATTTATTTATTTATTTATTATTTATTTATCTTTTTGAGACAGGGTATCTGTCTCCTGAGTGCTGGAATTAAAGGTGTGTGCCACCATGCCAGCTCATTTTTCCTTTTTTTTTTGGTCTTTTTGAGACAGGGTCCCCCTGTAGCCCCAGCTATCCTGGAACTCACTGTGTAGACCAGGCTGGGCTTGAACTCACAGAGATCCACTTGCCGCTGCCTCCCACGTGCTGGGATTAAAGGCGTGCGCCACCTTTTTAAAAACTGACTCTGAGCACTCATATCGTGTTTGTACACACAGATTTTTTCCAGTTGGTACTATTAAGTTTGAGTCTACAGATGAGTTGTGAGACTAATACAATGAGTCCCACATACCCTTCGGCCTTGGCTCCCAACTGAAGCATTACCACATTTACTCCATCTCTTTACACATCTACATATTTATTTTTCTGTAAAACTACTTGAGATTACACTTCAGATACTAGCACAAGCTTTACAGTTTTGACCCATAGGTACCATAGTCATGGCTACAGTGTGATTTTGCCTTTAAATCCGTTGATTCAGGAAACAGCGTAGTTTCAGTAGCATTGATTCATCTACAGATTCTCAGAACCACTTTTTTTGTCCTTTTCCATAACACCTAATGTCATGAGGTATCTGATATTGTACCGAGGCTCAAAAAACAATTCTCAGATCTAGACAGAAATGGAAGAGAAAGCTAACTGATGGGATGATGTCTCTTCCATGTCACCCCCAATTTTGTGCACGCTCAGCAAGTGAGATCCATTGAAGTTACCTTCTCTCTGAAGGCAGCACAGTGCTACATGGAATGAGCCAAGGTATCACTAAAGAAAACATGGCAGCTGCCACAAGCCATCCTTCCTTCCAAAATTACCATGTGGCTTCAAATAGGCCTCACTAGAATACTTTTAGATCTTTAAATGGTGGGAATAAAGAACCAAAATAGCAAATGGCCCATTTCAAGCCTGTTGCCACAAGATGACATTAAAGAGTAGGTTAAGAAGCAAGCATCAAAACCACGTACACCCCTATAATTTCAGAACTCAGAGAATGTGGAGGTAGAAGGATAAGGAGTTCAAGGTCAGCCTGGGTTACATAAGACCCTGTCTCAAAAAACAGACAAAACAACCTCAGCCCCAAACCAAGCAGCAGGGTTCTACAGCCATCATACCTTTGAAGCGATGAATTGGTCACTGTCTGGGTTCTCTGGGTCGGCTTGTTTATATCTCATTGTGTAGAACAGCAGCACAGACACGATCTCAGCAGCACTAAACCAGATGCAGGTAATTTCTCCTAGCCCGGATTAATCTATTCAAGGGTCAGGGAAGCTGGAAGCCTCCAAAGCTTGAGTTTCTAAAGGTCAGTTTATAGGACAGCAACCTCACAATCCTCCTTTCTGCATACAGTGACACGCTCTGAGACTAGCCCCCCTTTATCAGAGGAACACCATGCACTTGGGCTATGTTCACTCTGTGACTCGACTTGAGCATTCTTTCACTTGTGTGCTATCATATGTAGAATTTGCACATGCTGAGGAAGCATCACTGATTCACAGCTACCACATAGATTCCATTCTACTACCTAAATTTCTTATAGGGGAGAGAAGACAGGACAGGGGACAGACCTACTCCCTGAAAATATCTTGCAGTTACTCATTTGACAGAGCATTAATATTCAAAATAGGTAAGGAACTCAAAATACTTAACCCAAAATAAACCAATTAAAATGGGTAAATAATATAGACTTCTCAAATGAAGAAATGTGAATAGTCAACAAATACATATAAATATATCCAGCATCATTAACCATCAAGGAAATGTAAACCAAAAGGACCAAGCATGATGGCCCACATTTGTAATCCCAGCACTCAAAAGGTTGAGGCAGGAGGCCAGATCAGTGGTAAAGTATTACATAGCATTCAGGAAATGATCAAGTTTGATCCCCAGCATCACCAAATCAAACCAGAAAGCAAGCATACAACTACAATGAAATATAATCTCACCCCAGTCAGAATGACTATAAGAACAAAAAGCAGGGACTTGGGCGATAGCTCCATCAGCAAAGTGCTTGCCTCGTAAGCACAAGGACCCCAGTTCTATCCCATCCCTGGAAATGATGCTTTAAAAAAAAAGAAAACGGGGCTGGAGAGATGGCTCAGTGGTTAAGAGCACTGACTGCTCTTGTAGAGGGCCTGGGTTCGATTCCCGGCACCCACATGGTGGGTGTGAACCATCCTTAACTCCACTTCCAGGGGAATCCGAACCCTCTTCTGACCTCTGCGGCGTTGCACAGCATGGGTGCACTCACATACATGCAGGCAATACACTCATATACATAAAATAAAAATAATAATTTTTTTTTTTAAAAAAAGAAAATGCCGGAGTCAGACCTGCTGTTCTCCCACTTTCTGCACTTTCTGATTGGATTTAAGGCCTGGTTCTCAAGATGGAGCTCATACCTGGCAGTGTTATCAGGGCCAAAAACATGTAGCTAGACAGGTCATAGGCAGTAAGGAGGAACCTGCTACTGTGATGCTGCTAAATGGACATAGTATTAAATGAACTTCTAATGACTTATTGCTATACTCATAGATTAATACACCTCTTATCTCTCACCAAAGGAGTTTCTTCTTGCAGCAGATGGCAATTAACAGGAGACCCACGACTGGCCAACATGCAGACAATAAGAGAAGGTGGAGCGCTTAGCCCTAAATGGGACAGCTATGTTGTACTCCTCCCCACAAGGTTCAGGGGAGTTTATGGAACAGAGGGCAGAAAGATTTGTAAGAGCTAAAGGTGGTGATGAATACAAAGAAACTGTGTTTTCCAGATACAACAGGACAGTTGCACATATGAACCTACAGTGCTTGTGACAGCATGCACAAACTTAGGCAAGCCCAAAGCAGGCAAAAACCCAGCCTGGAGGACAGAGGGCGGCAAGAAGCCCCAGCCTTAGCTGAGGAACTTTTGGCAACTGATAGCTGCTGGAGAGGGAGAGTCCGTTTTCTTTAGTGATGTGATGCCATGTAGGTTGACCAGGCTTCAGGGGATTGACCCGCACGACAAGAGCCTTTGGATACCACAAATTAGACTCCACAGGCCTTAAAAAAATAATAGAAAACACTGGGGTATGGTGGCACATGCTTTAATCCTAGCACTTGGGAGGCAGACGCAGGCAGATTTCTGTGAGTGCTAGGCCAGCCAGGGCTACATAGTGAGACTGTTTCAAACAAGAAAAAATCAACAACAAAAACTTAGAGGATATGAATTGAAGGGGTAGGGAGGTGGAGGAATCTGAGAGAGGAGGGAGGGAGTCTGAAAAAAAAGGGACTTATTTTTGCCATTTGTTACTTTTTTCCCTAGGGGGTTATTAGCTTTTTGATGTTATTTCCTGAATTGTTTCCTCTGTATTTTTTTCAAATTTTGACCATTTCTTGTAGAATTCAGTTTGTCATTTTTTCCAACTTTTACTGACTAATGGTGGACAAATAAATATGTGTATATATAATGTGTACACTTAATGTTTGCATGTATGTATACATTGTGGACAACTAACCACAATAAACCTAATTAGGGTAGCAAAAAAAAAAAGCTGGGTGTGATGTTCGGCAATTTCAGTGTTAACTGCTGGTGTTGGTGGTGGAATTGGGAAGACATTAAGATGACAATATTGGCTGCATTCAAGACCTGAAGAATACAAATATAAAACAAAATCTTGAAAATTACGTGTATTAAATGCAATTACATCATCATATTAATGCCACAGCCCAGGTTTCAGAGCAAATTATTTATATAGTGCTGAGAATGAAATCCAGGGTCTTGCACATGCTATGCAAACAGTCTACCACTGATTAAAAAAAATAAGTATTTTGTGTCAGTACAATGAGATAAAATTAGAAGTCGACAGAAAAAAAGTAAAAATTCGACAAATTTTTGGAAATTAAATAATGAACTCTTACACAAACCGAAGGCTAAACAATTTACACGGGAAATTACAAACAGATACATGAAAAGCACAAAATCAAAACTTATGTAGATGTAACAAAACTAGTGCCAAGAAAAATTTCTAGCTACAAACACATTTTAGAAGTTGCGGAGATGGCTCAGCGGTTAAGAACATTTGCTGTTCTTCTAGAGGACCCTGAGGTTGATTCCTAGATCTCACATGGCAGTTAACAACCTCCCACAACCCTAGTACCATGGAATCCGACACTATTCTGGCCTCTGTGGGGCATTGCATGCAGGTGGTTCACTTACATACATGTAGGCAAAACACTCATACACAGAAAATAAAAATATTAAAATATTTTTAAAACCCATGCATTTTAGCCCCATGTGTTGGCTCACTCCTTTAATTCCAGCACTTGGGAAGCAGAAGCAGGAGGATCTCTGTGAGATCAAGGCCAACCTGGTCTACACACTGAGTACCAGGACAGCTGGGGTTACAGTGAAACCCTCTCTCGAAAATGGGGATATTCTGTCACCTTTACAGAAATGAAAAAGATTTAAAACACTGTAGATGACTATATGGCAGCAAACTAGTTAATTAAAAGAGCTGAAAATTTTCTAGAAAGAGAAAACAAGATCCAGTTGCTAGAAAGTCTGAACAGAGACTACTAGTATTTAACTGGTGTTCTGGTTTGTTTCTCCATTGCTGTGACAAAATACTCTGACCACTACCAACTTGGGGAGGAAAGGGTTTATTTGACTTACATCTCCCGGGTCACAGTTAATGAAGGAGCCCAAGGTAGGAACTCAGGGCAGAAACCTAGAGGCAGGAGCTAGAGCACAGGCAATGGAGGAATGCTGCTTAGTGGTTGCTCCCCTGGCCCCTGCTCGGCCTGCTTTCTTATGCAACACAGGCCCACCTGCCCAGGGGTGGCCTCACAGACAGTGGGCTGGGCCCTCCCACATCACTCAACAATCAAGAAGATGCCCCACAGGCATGGCCACAGGCGGGTCCAAAGGAGGAAATTCCCCAAATGAGATTCCATTCAACCCAGGTGTGTCAAGTTGACACTAAATCTACCCAGCACAACTGGTAATTGAAAAACTTCAGACAAGTTATAGTGTATGTCTTAATGCCAACTATTGGGCAGTCAGAAGAATCCCTTGTGTAGAGTTCAGCCTGGGCAACACAGCAAACCCCCTAAAACATTATTTTTACTAGTATTGATGCAAACACAACCCTCAACGACGCGCCAGCAAATTACTAACATTTTTTCTAATTGTTTTCAACCACTTTTAAGCCTGTAATCCATTTGTCATATCCTTTGGGCCTTCTCCCATTGGCCCTTGGTGCTTTCTCACTGCCCTCACTGGCAGTCTGGTGAGATGTCTGTGCAGGCCCTCTGGTGCTCTCTTGCTCTGCCCCTTGGTGTTTGTTTTTTTTTTTTTTTTTGGTGAGTCCCCAGGTTCTTCTTCCCACCTCAGATGGTTATGCTGGGCCTGGTGCTGTATGCTTTAATGAGGCAGAGGCAGGCAGATCTCTGTGAATTCAAGGCCAGTCTGGTCTACATAGTGAGTCCCGGGACAGCTGGGACTACAGGGAGACCCTGTCTCAAAAAGACCAAATAAAAAAGATGGTTATGCCTAGTATCAAGCACACTACAGTGCTCCTTTTGTGTGCCCATTTCAGAGAATTTTAAATATTTGTCACTGGCATATTCGACAGTATACAGAATCGATTCCACTTTTAAAAATAACTTTGTGTGTGTTGTTGGGCGTGGTGGCGCATGCCTTTAATCCCAGCACTCGGGAGGCAGAGGCAGGCAGATCTCTGTGAGTTCAAGGCCAGCCTATAAATAAATAAATAAATAAATAAATAAATAAATAAATAAATAAAAACTGTGTTATTAATTCTTCAACGGGACTGCCTCTCTGTTCAGTACAGGATTTCCTTTGAGGGTGATGGCCAATGGAAGAAATGTTCTATAATTAGAGAGTCATAGGGATGGGAGGCATACGGAACATACGGAGTGTAGTGAAACTAAACCACATGCCTGAAAATAGGTATAATAGTGAAGTTGATATTCCCATTTTATAACCATATTAAAAAGTACACCCTGGAATTTCAAAGTTTGTGGATGGCTACCCCTCACACACAGCAGTCTGGCCTCCAGTCAGGTTTCTCAGTACGTGAAGTGGAGCTAGCGGTTCTTAGACACTGTGACGTTTCTGAGCCATTTTCCTTTCTAGAACCTTCTGTCCCAAAAGCACGGTATGACTGTTTAACCAAAGCCAGCCTGTAACTTGAACAGAGAGCCCGACTTAGGTGAGTTTGTGTTGTGGCACAATGTGTACTTTAAAAATTTTTAATCTGAAATCTTGGGTTAGGCCCCTATGTAAAGGCAACAATGTTAGTATCAGACACTGGGATAACCTTGCCACATCACCATGGCACCCAGTGGTGTGCCGAGGCTCAGGAACTTCGGAGCTTAGTGCTTAACATAAAAATGATGAATTCTTACGTGACAGCCCCAAAATATAACCCGACTGCCATTCGGCTCTCCCGTTATTGTTGACTTCAAAAGTTCTTACCTTGAAATTTTCAATAGGTGCCTATTAACCGCACAGAGAATCTGAACTGATCCTACTTTGAGAATGAGTTCTCTTTTCCCCACATCCTCTGCACTACTAGATATTTTAAGTCTTTAATTTTGGGCATTCTGGTAGATAAGTAAATAATAATGAATTAATGCTTTGATTTACAAATTGATCAATTTTCATTTTCTAGTTTTTCAAAGTATTGGTTGTCACTTATATGCAGTTCAGTCCAATTGTTCACTACTAACCTTTGCTGGTTTTTTTTAGAGATTGTTCTTACCTTACTAATTTTTAAAAATATTTTATTATTTTTATTTTATGTGTATGAGTGTATTGCCTGCACGTATGTGAGTGCACCCATGTCGTGCAAGAGCAATCAGCTCTTAACCACTGCGCCATCTCTCCGGCCCCTTACCTTACTAATTTTTAATATTTCTTTAAATACGGTATTGATTATCCCTATTACATATATTCACTTTTTCCCCTCAGTCTATTCTGGTTTTAGTTTTTAAATGATAAGAAAGATATTTTATTTTTAAGAAAAAGGAAGCACTTGATACAAAACCTAAAGGTTCTTTCTTTTTAGCTTTGTTTTTTCCCTCCACACAGAAGGCTATAAGATTTCTTTCCTTTTTTTTTTTTGGTCTTTTTGAGACAGGGTCTTCCTGTAGCCCCAGCTGTCCTGGAACTCACTATGTAGACCAGGCTGGCCTTGAACTCACAGAGATCTGCCTGCCTCTGTCTCCCAAGTGCTCAGATTAAAGGCATGTGCCACCACACCGGGCAAGATTTCTTAATTTAATAAAATACATAAATCTTTTCCTCAGGCATTAGGATTGAGTCTTCCTTAGAAAAGTCTTCTCTATTTAAAGATTATAAAAATATTTTTATTATATCCTTTTGATACCTTTACAGTTGTATTTTTTAAAGAATATTTTATTTATTATTTATTATTTTTATTTTATGTGTATGAGTGTATTGCCTGCACGTATGTGAGTGCACCCGTGTCGTGCAGTGCTTCAGAGGTCAGAAGAGGGCTTCGGATTCCCCTGGAACTGGAGTTAAGGATGGTTGGTAGCCGCCATGTGGGCGCTGGGAATTGAACCCGGGTCCTCTGCAAGAATAGCCAGTGCTCTTAGCCACTGAGCCATCTCTCCAGCCCTACAGTTGTATTTTTGTGTTTAATTCTCTATTTTCTGGATTCTATTACTGTATATAAAGAAAAGTAGCACTCTTTATTTTTCAAGTAGACCATTTTCCTAAAATCATAATTTGGTACTTTTTTCTCCAAAATTTTCTTAGCAAGTTTGCATTTTTTCTGCTAAGTTTTGAAATCAACTAATTTAAGACTCACAAGATGTTCCAATTTGGATTTTTTTCTTAAGATGGGGGTCACAAATTCTTGCTGCTGCCACCTCCCAAGTTCTGGGATTGCGGGCATGTGTCACCATACATGGAACCATTTATTTTTTTATTTTTTAATGTCATGGAATGCATACATTAGTATATATATGGTTGGCATATTTATAATAGTAAATCATCCCCCAAAGTGCGTGCTATATAGCTATTGGTAATTATATCTTAATTGGCATCCTATTTTACATTTTCTTTTTTTATTTATTATTTTTATTTTATGCATATGTGTGTATTGCCTGCCTGTAGGTAAGTGCACCCGTTGTCGTGCAGTGCTGGCGGAGGACAGAAGAGGCTGTCTGATCCCTTGGAACTGGAGCTACAGACGGTTGTTAGCTGCCATGTGGGTGCTGGGATTTGAGCCCGGGTCTTCTGCAAGAACAGTCAGTGTTCTTAACCACTGAGCCATCTCTCCAGCCCTACATTTTCTTTTTTATGATGTTGGAGATGAAACCTAAGTTCTCAAGAATTCTAGAGAAGCACTCTTACTGAGCTACACTCCCAACTCCTTATTTTATATTTTCTTTTTAAAAAAACAAGAGATTATGTAGCCCAGGCTGGCTTGGAACTCCAAATTCTCCTGTCTCAGCCTCGCAAGTGCTGTGATTACAGGCCCTGCTTTCTTGTTTATATTTTCTATTTACCATTACTACTATTGTTATCATTAATATTATTAGTGTGTGCATGTGTGTGTGTGTGATGTGTGTATGTGAGCACAGAAGCACATATACCATGATGCATGTATGGGTGTTAGAAAACAACTTGAGGGAGTCAGTTCTTTCTTTGCACTGTAGGTTCTGGGGATTGAACTCAGGTCATCAGGCTTGCTGACCCTTACCCTGATTTTTCTGTTTTTTTCCTTCCTTTTTTTGTAGTGGAAGCAGAGGTAGTTTATTAAGAGATAGAACACTTTAGCTTTGTTTTTTGTTTGTTTGTTTATATTTAGATTGAATTTTCCCTTTGTTGTTTTGAGACATGGTCTAATGTGGCCTAGGTGGACATCAAGCTGGCTGAGACTGAGGATGAGTTTGAAATCGTGCTTCTCCAGCCTCCAGCTTGCACCTCTGGAGGTGCTGGGATTACAAGGCCTTTCGGTATCTACCATCCCATGGTGCTAGGGATTGAACCCAAGGCCTCTAGTATGCTAGGTGGGCCCTCTACCCATTGAGTTACATCCTCAGCACTGACTTTAAAAAAATTTGTGTGTGGAGTGAGGGGGTGTGCAGCATGCATGTGTCATGGCACCTAAGTGGAGGTCAGAGGACAACTCATGGGAGTTGGTTCTCTCATTCACTATGTGGGTTCCGGGAACAGAACTCAGGTTGTCAGACTTGATAGAAAGTGCCCTTGCCCTATGAGCCACCTTGCCAGCTCATGTTTTACTTTATTGAGACAGGATCTCACTATGTGGCCTTAAACTCCTGGGCTCACACTACTGAGTAGCTGGGACTACATGTGTGTACCCCCATATCTGGCTCCTTTTTTCTGGATTAATCAAGCTCCATTTTTGTTTCTTCTTAATTATTTAGGTGTTATATATATCTGGTTTTTGTTCTTCTAGTGTCTACCTTTAATTTTTTGTGTATATATGTGTGTGAGTGGTGTGTGTGTGTGTGTGTGTGTGTATGTGTGTGTGTGTGTGTGTATGTATGCATGGTTACATCAATGCACACATGTAGAGGCCTGAGGAGTGTGCCAGAAGTCCACCTTATTCCTTTGAGACAGGGTCTGTCACTGAACTTGGAGCTAGGTTGGTGGCTAGCAAGCCCCAACAATCTTCCTGTGTCTGCTCTCTCAAAGCACTGAGGTTACATGTACATGCATGGCCATGCTCAGTTTTATGTAGATGCTATGATCTAAACTCAGCTCCTTGTGTTTGTGTAGTTACTCACTGAGCCATCTTTCCAGTCTCTTACCTTTAATTTTTTTATACCAGCATATTTTTCTGTCAATATTATTTATTTATTTATTTATTTATTTATTTGGGTTTTTTGAAACTGGGTCTCCCTGTAGCCCCAGCTGTCCTGGAACTCACCATGTAGAACAGGCTGGTCTTGATCTCACACAGATCCACCTGCCTCTGCCTCCCGAGTGCTAGGATTGAAGGCGTGCGCCACCACTCCTGGCCTTGAGTTTTCTAATTGTGCCTATAAAATTCTCCCCAGAACAAGTTATAAGCAAATTTTTATTTTTCCTATTCACAACTTGCTCCTTAAGAAATAATTTAGTTCTTAACATTTGTCAAAGGTGCACATGAATGTAGTTTAAGAAGCGATCAATATATTTTTCTGTAAATGGTCAGACAGCTGTAGGCTGTATGGTGTCTGCTGCAGTGGTGTTTACAAGCAGCCATAGAGAACTGAATGAATGTGGCTATGGGCAAAAAAAGTTTTGTTTATGAATACTGAGGTTTGAATCTCATATAATTTTTACATGTTACAAATGGTTCAGTTTTTTCAACTACTTATAAAGGTTAAAAATGTTTATAGGCCATTCAAAGTCAACCAATGGCCCTTCAGGATGGATTTTGCCAATCTTTGATTTAAGAGTTAAGTATTTCTTTTTTAATATTTTATTTATTATATTTATTTTGTGTGTATGAGTGTATTACCTGCATGTATGTAAACACAACCCCTATCGTTTAGTGCCTGCAAAGGTCAGAAGAAGGCATTGGATCTCTTGGAACTGGACAGTTGTTAGCTGCCATGTGGGTGCTGGGAATTGAACCCGGGTCCTCTGCAAGAGCAACCAGTGCTCTTAACCACTGAGCCATCTCTCCACCCCCAGAGCTAAGTATTTCTAGAACTTATTACCAAAAAAGTAGCAACTTAAAATTTTGTAATCCAAAATTTTTAATTAAAGAATGATATAATTTAACATAAAAATTAGCAATTCTCAGGCTCCAATCATCCATTGTCCCCTCCCCAAAATCACACATTTTCAACATGTTTAGTATTTCTCCTGGCATTTGCATCCAGGTCTCTAAATAATGTTTATATGGTACCAGTTAATTGTCTTTCTATACTTTAGGAGCCCGTTCATTGACTTCTCACTACAAAAGATGATGTAGCGGTTTCACCTGCCTCCTCTCCAGCGGACACACACTTGATGTTCTGTCATCGTTCTTGCACAGTATGCAGTGATTTCAGCTATACCATTCCTTGGAGTTTTACATGATCAACGCCATGGAAACACTAGTCACAACTGAGCAATTGGTGCGATTTCTCTTCCTTCGTTTTCTAACTTTCTCCTTTCCTTGGAGTCAACGTTTGTATGCCCCTCCCCCTTTCTGCTTGTTCACTATTACCTGTCTCAAATTCAGCACTTCTCCCAACTATCCAAATCTCCTATTCATGTATTCAAAGATGTTCAGCATTCTAGTAGGTTGATTCTCAATACCTCTCTAAACTAGTGTGTGTGTGTGTGTGTGTGTGTGGGTGGGTGGGTGTGTTAGAGGTCAGTGTCAGAATATCTTCCCCTACTGCTGTCCACCTTATATTTTTGAGACAAAGTCTCTCACTGAACCTGGAGCTCACCAATTAGGCTTTGCTGCCTGGCCAGTCCTCCTGTCTCTAACTCAGGTCCTCACTTAACCTACTGAGTCAGCTCCCAGGCCCTAAAAAAATTTTATTTTATGTAACTGTACTACATGTGTTGGAGTTAAGGATGTGTGTTAGCCACCATGTCCTTATGTGTTGGGAACCAAACCTGTGTCCTCTGCAAGACCAACTAGTGCTGTTAACCTCTGAGCTGTCTCTCTAGGCCCCTAAAGGAACCTTTTGATTTGTTTTTCAAGCCTCCTGCACAGCTGTGAGCATAGATTTCTCTGTTTGTCACCTGGGAAATGGGAAACGGCTTTGTCTCTCTCTCCTCCTTTCCCTATTTCCTCCTCTCCCCCTCTCCCCTTCTCCCCTTCTCTCCGTCTCTCTCTTTCTCTTTTCCTTCCCCTCTCTCCCTCCCTCTTGCCCTCCCTGCATCCCCCACTCCAGTCCCATTTTCTAGGTCCTTTGTTTACCTTCCTGATGTGGTGCTGTACTGTGTATATCATTTAAGAAATACAGAGAATGCTTATAGAAGAGGGAAACTATTTGAGTTCTTTCATGTCTGAAAATGTTTTTAGTGTAAATTTACAGTTAGGCTTGAGAATGTAGCTTGATGTTCTAGAGTGCAAGTTACCTCATGCAAGGCCCTGAGTTCAGTCCCCAGCATGGGAAGGGGTGTGAAGGGAAGAGGAGGAGACACAAGAGAACAGACGGCAAGTGAAAAGGGGAAAGAAAGGTGGAAGGGAAAAGGGAAGAGAAGGGAAAAAATGAACGAAAAAGGAAGAAAAGCATCCTAAACTCATAGTTGATGGTTTTAGAATTGCAGGTAGGAAATAAGTTTTCCCCAAGCTTTGAAGGCATTACTTCCTTGTCTTCTGGTTCTGCATGCTGTTGTTGAAAAGGCTAAAGACATTCTGACTTCTGATTCTTTGAACATGACCTGAGGGTTTTTGTTTTTTTTTTCGTATTCAACGGTATTTCTCTTAGTGTATTGAAGATATCCAACCATATTCTGGATTTCATTAATATTATTAAGAAGTCAGATTGCAGTTTAAAAGACATGTTTTTAAAGGTGATAAGTTTTTCCTCTGGTTTTAATATCTTTTTAAAAAATATTTTATTTATTATTTTTATTTTACGTGTACAGGTGTATTGCCTGCATGTATGTGAGTGCACCCATGTTGTGCAATGCTGCAGAGCTCAGAAGAGGGTATGGGATTCCCCTGGAACTGGAGTTAAGGATGGTTCGTAGCTGCCATGAGGTTGCTGGAAATTGAACCCGGGTCCTCTGCAAGAGCAATCAGTGCTCTTAACCACTGAGCCATCTCTCTAGCCCTCTGTATACTTTTTAAAGTTCTGTGTTACTATTTACCAGCTTTCTCTTAGGCATATAAAATCTGCTATTAAATCAATCTATTGAACATTAAAAACCCATTTGTAAAAAGATGTACTTTAAAAAATTTTGTTTGTGTTTGCCTGTATATATGTATGTATACCACATTTGTGTAGGTGCCTACAAAGGCCAGAAGAGGGCATTGAATTCCCTGGAGCTGGAGTTATAGAAGGTTGTGAACTCCGGTATGGGTGCTGGGAACCGAACCCTGGTCTTCTTCAAGAGCAGCAAGTATTCTTAACCACTGAGCCATCGCTCCATCTTTATAAAACCTTTTAAAACTGTGAAATCTGGCATATGTACATAAAGATGCAGAAAATATAAACATATATTTTACGAAATAATGATAAGGTTAGCATACTCCAGCCTCTACCTCCTTCACACTCAATCTCCTTCCACCTTAGGGGTAATCCTCATGCTGATACTTAAGGTTACTCGTATGTATGCTTTGACTTTATAATTTTGTCAGCTACATGTAGATCACTATAGTACTTAGTTTTGCTTGTTCTTAAAATGTAAACAAATAGAGCCGGATATGGTGTGAATTTTTCTGTTTGGTTTCTTCTGCTCAACCTTGTGCTTGTAAGATTCATTTCTGTTTCTAATTCATTCATGTAGTTTCTCTCCTTTACTACATAGTACTATATTGCCCTCATGTCTAACTCCCTGCCTACCTGGTCTCAGGAAATAATGTGTGAGAAAAATGGTTTCTAATAATGTGTGAGAAAAACCTGTTAGGATAGAGATTTCTCTTCCTACCCCTCCTCCTATCTCACTGTGAGTAGCAACACAGCAAACTATGAGTTAGTGGGAATGAGTTTAGTTCTACTTTATAAGAATTGTTCTTTCAGGGCTGGAGAGATGGCTCAGTACTTATGAGCACTTACTGATCTTGCAGAGGACCCTTGTTTGGTTTTCAGCACCCACATGGCAGCAAACACCTGTCCTTAACTCTAGTTCTAGGAAATCTGATGCCCTCTTCTGGCCTCTGTGGGCATCAGACATGCACGTGGTGCACTTACATACATGCAGGCAAAACACTCATACACATAAAATAAAAACAAATAAAATCTTTTAAAAAATGTTGATGTTCTGTTTACAAAGTCAGTCCTTCATAAATGAGAGCCATAATTGGAAATTCTTAGCTTGAAAAATAGACAGGTCCAAGATCAGGTGAAGCATATGTAGAGGGAGGGTCTACCCATTGGAGGATTGCAGTAGAGTACCAACAAGAAGTTGGATGTTGGGGCCTGGAAGATGAGCTCCACCTCCCCAGTCTATGTTGGCCCATCTTAAACAAATCTTACACACATCACTACCCTTGCACACATGTATTTTCTAAAGTAAATCCATACACGTCCATAGCTATTTGTCATTCGCAGAGCACCCATTATTTGTCACTCATAGAGCACCCATTGTGTGATTTCTTGTTTCCTAATGCAGGTGGAAAGCACAAAGGGTTCAAGTGCAACACTCCCCTCCAATGTACCTTCCTACAGGTCCATGTCCTCCTCCCATAAGGATTTCCCCAGCAACCACACCAGCTTCTCAGATGGGGCGCTTGCACAGAATGTGCAAGAAGGTGTCAAACATTGCATCCTCTACCTCTCAGAGCAGTTGAGAGTGGAGAAGGCCAGTCGGGATGGGAACACCGTGAGCTACCTGAAGCTGGTATCCAAAGCTGACCGGCACCAGGCCCTGCACATCCGGCAGGCCTTTGAGAAGGCGAACCAGCGAACCTCAGCCACTATCGCCCATATCAAGCGAAAGCTCTACCAGTGCCACCGAATGCTGAAGGAGCTGGATGAAGGTTGCATCCCCACGAGTTCAGTGCTGGAAGTGGGCACAGGCCTAGACAGCCATAAGCAGGCTGCTGTAAAGGCCTCATTGTTTAAGCTGCCCAGGCCAGGTGGGGAAGATAGCCTGCCCACCACTGTTACCAAGCCATCCACTCTGGATAGTTGTGCATCAGGCGTGCAGCAGAAGAAATTCTCAGAGAAGAAGTATGTGGCCCAGCAACAAAAGCAACTGTTACAGAAGATGAAGGAAGAACTGACAGAAGCCAAGAAAGCCCATGCTGACCTTCAGGTTTGCCACCAGAGCCTCAAGCAAAGGCATGTGTCAGATGTGCAGGAGATACTCAAGTCCCTTCAAGAAAAGAAGAACAGGTGAGGTAAGCCCCTTCTCGTGCCTAGGCTCTGGGCACAGGAGGAAGTCAAGAGACAACTTGGGACTTACTTATGGGGGGTTGAGAAGGAGCTGGGGACACAGAATCAGGGTGGGGGAGGGTGACTGTGCCCTACAGTGGAAAGAGTAGGTCATCTTTCTTCTGCCCACACCTACATCTGTCCCTTGCTGGCTAAATAGACTCTAGCAAGAGAGCCTTCCAAGCAGTCAGCATGGTGCATTGGAGCAATAGAGGCAGCCAGGTACAGTGGGAGCCTGGCAGAAAGTTCATATTAGTTAAGAGACGCAGTGTCCCATGGGCCCCATTTGCTGGGAAAGTTTGTCAGGACTCAAGTCACCTGGCCAGCTTGTTTGACCTGGTATACAATGTCAAGCATTGGCTATACTGGATATTCAGTTCAGAAGTGACTGCCCCTTTGTGAGTGCTTTCCCCTCAGTGTCCTGTGGCTTGAGTTTATCTTTCACTAAGACAAAATGGGTCTGTCAATTTAAAAAGCGGTAAGCCAGACATGGTGGTGCATGCCTGCAATCCCAGAACTTGAGAGACTGAGGCAGTAGGATCACAGAGACTTCAAGGCTAGCCAGGGGTACATAGTGAGACACTGTCTCAAAAACAACAACAACAAAAATACAAACCTAATCTCTCAGTGGATCCACTCCATTCTGTTGGCACCCTTCTCTGTGTTTCCACTAGCATTGGGTACTTTGTCCCCTCTCACATCACCATCACTGTAATGTATTATGAATGAACACAAATCCTCCCAACGGCCTAGCAAGAGATAGAGAGGTTGTTTCAGTGAGCCGAGACTCTCATGAAAGATCCTTGTGTTCATGAAAATAAGAACTCTTCAGTCTCTTTATACCTACACATGTGAGGAAGAAGGGGCAAATGGGAACCATTGTTTTGGATTTTCCTAGGGAATCTTAGGAGCATTTATGCAGTCTAAGACTTCATAAGGGGAAATTATGGAGTCATAGACAAACCTATCATCAAGTAAGATAGCCATTCAGAAGTATGGGTTGCATTACTACTATTATTTTCATTGTGCATATTCATTGTACATTGTACTGCCACATAAGGACATTTCCTTCCTTCCTTCCTTCCTTCCTTCCTTCCTTCCTTCCTTCCTCCTTCCTTCCTTCCTTCCTTCCTTCTTCCTTCCTTCCTTCCTTCCTTCCTTCTTCC